ATCGTTGTAGCTTCGGCTCATGGCGAAAGCACAGTAAAAACTCCGAAGTACCGCAGGAACGTTTCTTTAGGCGCCTGCCCGCGAAGCCCGGCCACGTCCACCTACGTCAGTACGGAAGCCGAGATGGCTCCGCCCCATTCCCAGACGAACCAAGAGGAGGTCGTACGGCGGCCGGAGAGGCTCAATTTAGGATTAGCGGAACAGAGCTACAAAAACTCAGACGACCGCTAGATGACCGCTAGAAACTCCGCCTCTTTGCCTCCGCCTAGAGTTAAGACTCCCCGCCCCCCCGTCTGCTATTAGAAACAACTAAAAGTTGGTGTTTTTGAAGTGCCATCATGTATCAGAATGAAACAAAAGCGGACATGTTTGGAAAGCGAAGAGTGAAATCAGGAAAATGGGAGAATATGCTTTTGAATAAGAGGAAACAGCCAAACCACTGAGTCTGGGTGTACTGTCCACCAGAGCGGTGGCCATCTATTGACACAGTTGCTAGGGATCGATCCCAGCTCCATGGCATTTAACTATATGTTAATAATAGCAAAAGATTTCATGAAATATGTAAATCTGATAAGAAGGACTACTGTAACCCAGGAATTCATATAATACATTTGTTAGTCTTTAAGGTGCCAGAATGCTCTTTGTTTTTGCTGCAATAGAGATAGTACAAAAAGAATGAACATTTCTAGTAGGGGCTGAATTTTAGCCATCAAAATATTTCCTTTATTTATGGTAATTAGATCTGTATCAAAATAAAGCAGCCCCTCAGAAATCAGGGTTTTTCTGGTTGATACTCATACATCAAGCAGGGGAAACCGTTTTAGAAGATGCAGCCTGCCCGTGTTCTGATGCCTCCCGGAGTAGACTCCTATCATCCCCCAACATTGGTGAATGCAAATGAGAGAATGAGATACCCATATCAGCAATCTCTTTTGATACTCGAAAATTTAAGGACTGCTCAAGTCTGCAACAGAAGTCATTCAGTTTCATGATGATTATAAAGTTTGCTTGTTTTTATGGGATTTTTTTTTTTTTAAAAAAGGAACATTCCTGCTTTTCCCTAATGTAAAGCCTCCATTTTCATCCCATAATTTAAGAAAAACCAGGGAAAATAAAGCAGTACTATTAAATCATATAATTAGTTTGTCAATTCCATGACATATTTTGAAGGTTCACAATAGCATTTTTGCTAATGTTACGCTGATCTTCTGGCTCCAGTCGACATCCGGTCCATGACCATCCATCTGAACCTTCTGTATATTGTCTCGAGTCCAGATGAAGTAAGGCAGGATAGTGGTGCTGAGTTGAAACTGCAGCTCCCAAATTTAAAACCAGAATTCCCAGCTCATTTGAAGCATATCATGTTGCAAAAGGCTACATACAAGACCCAGAAAAATCTTGCTGAAAAAAGCTGCTTTATTATATCATGCACATGGTCATTGAATACAGTAGGAATTACTCTCAGGAAAAATTGACATTAGATTGTAGCATTAAGCTTTAACACAGGACCTTTGTGGCAGTTTAGTGGCTCTTCAAAGAATGAGGAGTCTCATCCTCAAAGCGTTGCCTATTTTTATGTAATAGATTAATTTTTATCTGTGCAAGGTATGTAATATTACAGTAATAATATGGCTATGAAAATAGTAATTGCAGAAATGTTTTTTCCTACATAAGTTGGACACACACATTGGGCTAAGCCATTATTTAACCATGGCTTACCAATAAACTACAGTTAGGTGGATTTACACAACACATTCAACAAAATTTGATGCAGCATGCTAAGCCAGAACCAAGCTACCTTATAACTAAGTTGCATGATTCCAGTCATAATGTAAGTGAAAAAATAAGTATCAAATTTCATTCTGCAATTATACATTGCTTTATCCCAAATAGACAGGGCAGACAATTGAAGCCACTTACTTAGGTTTGAAAGGTCCCATAATCCACAGCCAACTAGGTTACATTTACCTGGAATTATGGGAATCATATCCAGCAGATAAAGAGGACTCCAGGGTAGGCTGTACTGTACAGTCTACATTTTTGGAACGAGGTCTAATGCTGTATGTAATGGTTGTCAAATCTCCAAACAAGTTTTAATTACTTTAGTATCCCTTTGGTATTTTCTGAGACAAACCCAACATCTGAGGTTTGCAATGGCTACCAAATCTAGGCTAAAAACAAACAAACAAAAAGTTGTATATCTCTTTGCTGCCATCCCAGATTTTTGCAGGGCAGATCTGGTAGTTGTATAGTTACTGTTATCCAAATATTTCTCTTGCACAAAAATTAGATTGACCCATCATGCTAAATCATAATGTGGTTTCTTTTTAATTTAGTGTGTTGTAACCATGTTAAACAAACCATGGCTTAAAGCGGTTTGAACCCAGATAGAAAATGCAATGAAAAACTGCATAAGCTTACATGATCTTCTCTATTGCTGGAAGGAAGGATGAAAGATAAATAAATAATGGTATTTATAATACAAATAAAGTTTCTAACCCAAACAAAAAACCCTTAATGTTTAGAGGTGCCTCTCAGTAAGAAAGTAGGTTTCAGTAATTCTAAACGTTCTGTCTTCCCTAAATTGTGCCCTTATGTTGTAAGCAAAATAATTTCCAGGTCAAACCATGTTAATGGATGACTAACAAGCAATAGAGCCTTCCACCCATTAGGAAATGGATAACAGAGTAGATCTTTTCTTCAATTCCCATTCCCCATTCCATCAGAAGATATGCCCAAACTTAATAGATGGAAGAAACCCCAGGGTCTATTAAGAGAACTTGATTACCTGATGTCATTTCTATAATTATTGTTTGCTCTACTCCAGATAGTCAAGTCAACTGTCTCATTGCTGTCTTCTCATGGTTGTCTGGATTTCTGTAGCTCAGACATGGTAGTCCTACTCAAGTATAGGCACAGAGTGGCAAATGCAGAACTCAGTGGCAAATGTTTTCCATGCTTGGTTCATGTAAGCCTTCTGTTCATGCTGCTGCTGGTCAACCAGAACATACTTCTGGAAACTGCCCAGCAATTGAGACTTCTCCTCCAAATCCAAGACTGTCTCAGCAAAGCCAGGATGTCTGGTCACCCTATGTTATAATGTCCTGCTCTTTTGTACATATTTAATACATAAGCTCTGTGTACTTAAACAGCAAAACTCCCAAGTTCTTCAACATTCCTAATTAAATTGTCATTCCTTATAATGTACTAGAATTAGAAATCAGTTGGCCATATATAACAGGGATAGGCAGTACATAAGAGGAGTAGGGTTGGGGACTACAACTCAATTTCTTGACCATCCAGATGGCTACAAGACACTATTTGGTGATACTGTGATATCCTTGAAAGGGCAGGAACCTTTTTTTTGGCCTAGGGAGGGGAATTTGGGGGAGGTTAGGGTAGACTTAGAAGCAGAAGACTTGTATCCATGCACTTAATAACACCCTCACTCCCCTGGTTAAAATCACACTGGTGAAATCCATCCATTTTGCCTCCAAAATTGAGCAGCACCATTTGGGGGTACTGGGGAACGCTATTGCTTACTCCTGATATATAGTTATGACAGTGCTGAGCCAATATTTTCAGCTTCAGTTTGCTGCTATCTTGAACCAATATGTAATGCATTTCTGAACTGCTGGCTGAGCTATTAAAAATGTCATTCATCTATTCGTTCACACACAAATGCATACTGGCTTTGCAATTTTATGCATCTATAGTAAAAAAAAAAAAATTGTCATCATTTGCTTGGAGATCTAGATCTTCCTGGTTATCATAGGCTTCCTATATCATGTCAGTGGAAATCAGCAAGAAACCCTAAGAAGATATGCAAAAATATATTTTAAAAACTACCAGAAGTTGCAGGTTTATAACAGTTTGATTATTACAAATATCACTTCAGCTGTTTTGTGAATTGAATTCTAGAAATAAGTAGTAGCTGGCTGACAAAAAGGAATAAAAACTGTCAAGTCATTGGTATTATTTTAGCTCCTGAACTACAAATATTTGTGGATATGTGTTATGTGTATGTTCTATCATAAAGGGGGTCTGAATAGGACCTATTGATAACTCATATTGTAAGCACATGACAACTTTCTGACAAATGTCACCTGATCCAAATACATCATCCTAATCGTCTTTCTTTTTCATTCTGGGGATGTAAGAGAAGAATAGATACCAAATCTCACCTGGTAAATTCTAACATTGGGCTTCATAAGTATCACTGTGTCCAAGAGAGGCAGAGGAATTCCATCCTTTAGTTTGGCTTAATAAAACAGAGAGAAAGAGAAAGATCCCAGAGTAGCTATGATGAAATTATAATGCTAGGCTTTGCAATCACATATAATCTTTAACTTAAAAGCTGAATATGTTGTATATTATTGCTCAACTATGAACATTTTAACATTTGTTTTATTTTTGGTTCAGCAGAAAGTAGTTAAAGCAGCTTAATATTATATCCCACTTTAAAGACAGAAAAGTGAGGCTCTGAGATACTTATTTTTTTGCAGTTGTTATATTCTGATTCTACTAACTTTGGTTGTGAATATAGCATGAACAATGGTGATAGCTAGTACAGTACTGATCACATGAATGGATATAAATCTGAGTATCTGTGATGCAGGGATAGAATCATAAGATATACAGATGCTACATTTTATCCATCAGTCTCTTGAAGATTTAGACATTCTAGACCAGCCTCTCCATAAACTTCATTTATGGCCATATTGGCTGGAACTTACAGAACTGTTTAGAAGTCTTTAGCCCATTTGAAGCTGATGTAGAAACTAAAATCATTAAAGAGAGAGAGGTATTGAGAGATTGAGAGAGTGATTGAGAAAGGTGACGCTACACTTACCATTGGCTGCTAGAATTATTCCAGTTTGTAAAATGTAAGACACGAAATTATCCAGAAGTGAAGCCTGCATTGAAAAAAAAGTTTGACTTTGTGACATGGCGAGGACACTGAAGAAAATGTTCCTCTTGTTTCAGTAAGAGGACTGATGACAGTGTTTAAGCAGCATGGATTTATTTTTATATAATGGGTTTTTTAGGATTTCTGTGAGCCCAACTTCTCAAGAGGTTCGTAAACAGAAGAGCAATAAACAAATTAAAAGCAAAAAGCCGGTTCCTAGGTTGAGTTCCAGCAGATGATGAATTTTCTATGCATATGGAATAATACGTGCCCCTGACTGTCACAAAATAGTGATGGCAAACCTTTTCCCAAACATTCAAAATATTTGGCTTCTTTGCCACTTTTGCAAATATTGGTTTTTCCTTCTGCTCATCTCAGTGCCAGATGAAACTCACATTCAAATGAGTCTGTATCTGGGAGTGTGTTTTCTTACGTTGAAAGGATTGCCTGCCACCCCACCCACTTCAATCTCTGTTATGATTGACTATCCTCAGGGAGAAACTCTGAGATTCTGCTTCTTACTGAGTTTGCTGCAATGGGTGATATGCTCTACCAGCAAAGCTGACCTGATGCTGCACACAGAAGGCAGCTCTCTACGTTTCTTAATAATCATTAATTATTTAGACTGCAGCCATTTTTGCAGCCCTTCTCTAAACCCTGTAAAATATTACATTTGCACAGTATTTTATTTGTATACTTGTTTATAATATCACTTCTCATAAACTTTGTTCTACTATTTGTTGCAATAATTTACACATTACTGAAATAAATTATCTTGAAAATGGAGCATCAACCACTTGTGGCATAGAATTCAAATTCCCAGCCTGAAACATGCTGAATCCCCAAGGACTGTATAAAAAGTGTCTATGTGTGGTGGTGGTGGTGGGTGGTGGTCTAAAGGTGGAAAATGTCCCAAACAGTTCAGTGAAGACTGAGTATGCGCAATAATTATAAAACAGCACTAAATATCTGTAGAAAGATGGGAAATGGAAAACAACTGTGAAGAGGAACTAAATGGAGAATTTAGAAATGTGTAGCTTGGTGGCTGACTGGTAGAAAAATTCCCACCAGTCCTCTGTCTCACGCATCTCTTTTTCATTTTTTAGATATAAAACACTATATTGTAAAATAGTTTATAAGTTAACAATAGAGGAAGG